AAAAATGAAGAAAATAAAGAATACTGCGTTTTTCTCCGCTCCTCTTCTGGTCTTAATCTTTTTCTTTTATTTTTAATTATGATATTAGAATAGACAAAATTCCGAGGCCTCATTTCGGCCCCGGTTGTATGCCGTCAAAATGCCGCGGCGAGGTCTGTTTCCGCGATCCCTCTCCGCGGCMGGCCAAAACGGTCCCAGTCCTCTGGGCGACCAGAAATGACGGTCTCTAGTTGTGCTTAGTGCACCCATCCATCTTGCTGTCTTTGGGTGTTACTCTTAAAATCTAGTGCGTCCAGAATCAGGGGTACCCTGAGTTCTCATAATTCCTGCAGCCCGGTCATCCCAAAGCACTGTCAAAACGCGGACTTAACCCTGAGCCTAGACCCCTAAACTGCCGTTTTCAGGCGGCGCACTACTTGTGGCCGCCTGACACCGTACCGAACGAACGAAGGAATGACTCGGCACCTCAAGGCGAATGCTACGCAGTAGTCTGGGGAATCCAACACTTCCATCCGTATCCCTACGGATAGAAGTTTCGCCTCGTGACAGATCATGAACCCCTGCTGGCGCTGAAGAAACTCACCAACTACACGGGCATGATTGGTCGTTGGGCGGGGCGACTGCAAGAATACGACTTCGATATCGTCCATCGAAAGACAGAGCGACACGGCAACGCGGACGGGCTGACACGTCTACATCGACCTGCCAAGGTACCAAAGGGCGAGGAAATTACACGGTGGAAAGAGCCGGACTTGACCAATGAGCCGAAAGACGGACAAGTGGTGGTTCTTCCACGTGGCAAGAAATAAAACGGTGGCGATGGGTGATGGAGGTAACCCCACTACCCCTCTCTCTCCCCCTTCCTCTTCATCTCTCGTCTCCCTGCCTGACAAATTTTGCTATTTTTGCGAAGCCATCTCCAACGTATACGAGGTCTCCATGCGTCGTAACGGGGAAGGGTATGCGGATTGGATAGATTGCCGACAGTATGTCGCACGAGCCCATGGCTCGTGCATCCAATACAGAAACGATAGTAAACCGTGGTTGTGCCCGTTGTGCCGGACCGACAAGATTCTGACCGAGGCTCGCTTTTTGGATGCCACGTTAGAAGGGTTGGAAAAGACCCGGAAGTTTAGAAGGGCCGAGGTATGGATGGATATTGCCTTAATTGCCACCCTAGTAGGTAACCCCCTCGAGGATTTCACCAAGGAAGATCGGAGGAGGGCCAAGAAAAGGGCTCGGGATTATCGATGGATAGAAGGTAGATTAGAAAAACGAAAAACGGACGGTAGTGGGATTTGGATGGTGGTATCGCATCCGTTCATGCGGTATGACTGGGTTAAGACAGCCCACGAGGAAACTGCGGCCCATTTTGCCGTACGAATCACGGAATCCGCTATCGACAAAAATGAGTGGTACTGGTCCAGTATCCGCGACGATGTGAAATACATTGTCACCAACTGTCAAGTCTGCGCCGCTGATTAAGCGCCGATTCAGCCACCGAGATCGATAGTGCCCACGGTTGTTAAATGGTCATTCCAAAGAGTGAGCATGGACACTACCGACATAGTGGTGCCCCCTGGCCCTAATAGTTGCGAATATTCAGTCCTATTGGTATTTGTCAACCATTTCTCGAAATGGATCGAAGTGTATCCTTGTCGCACACGGCAAGCCACGAAAATCGCGCGATATGTCAACCGTTTCCTCGGGATGCATCAGGATACGGAAGAGATCCTGACCGACAACGGGGCCAAATTCAGAGGGGAAGTGTTAAGGAATCTGGTCATACATGGCGTCGCCATACGGAACACTGCACCCCACATGTCACAATCCAATGGGCTGGTCGAAAACGCTAGCCGGGTGATAAAGACCGCATTGCGACGAAACATCGCGGCACGGGATCCGAGGCCCTGGCCCAATATCGTCGATCACATCCTGGCGGTCCATCGCGGAACGCCCCACGAATCGACGGGGCTAAGCCCCTTCCAATTAAGGACCAATAGCGTCGCTTGCGTTTCCATACCAAGCCTCCCGGATGAGTCTACATTGAACCGACGGCCCACCAGGGCCACAGCTCGGGACAAGGCCAAACGACACCTAGAGTTAATGGAACTCGAAAACGACAGAAAATGACCGAACTAGCCCAAGGCCGACAGGTCCGGAGCTACAAGGCCCAAAATGGGAATGCGGGTCCGCGGCCCCAGTACAAATTCGGGGACGTGGTGCAGGTAAGGAAATGTGCTCGCCAGGGTAAGCTAGCGCCACGATTCATCGGGCGATATCACGTGATCGAACTCGGCCCTAACGGCATGGACACCGTGCGTCTCGCCCCCGAGGTCTCTGGCAGTTGATCGGCTCGTCCGATCACCCGCCATGTGTCCTATCTTCGCCTCCTCCCCTCTGCTCCGTCTCCTTCTCCCCCGGTCTCTTTCTGAGGAAGCCGACGACGACGGCTCTGACTCTCCTTCTTGCTCCCTCTCTGCCACCCCATCACCCCCGCCATCGCCATGAGCTTTGCCATCGACCGAGCTTTCAGTAATCAGTTGCTGATGCCACGGGGAGAGATCTCAACCATCCGCCAAGTGCATCATCCGCGGATAAGCCCCAACTTCATGCGCCTTGCGCAGTTTTTCGGCATTGCGGGTGTGTACGGCACGACAGAGTTCCGGTTCACGAGCAATCCCCAGGTGGTGGCGCTAGCCGAGGCAACGACGTTCCAACGGCGAGCGGCCCCAGGAATTAGCCACGTGTCTACCGTGGTAGTCTTCAGCGGTGACATCACCGCCTTCGATCCGGCGCGGTAAGCCGCCATCAAAAGCACCTTGTACCAGTGGGGTCATGATCTGGCTACTGATTGGGATCGACAGCTCACAAGGCACGGTGACGAGTGCTATCCTGTCGACGACATCGAGGTCAACACGCTGCACACAACGCTGCGCGAGCCACCTGTCGTCCTCCCAGAACTTGCTCCCTTCCAGCCGCGCAGATGAGCCGCGCGCCAATCTCGACGTTTTCTCTCCCTCTCTCTTCCCCATCTTCTCGCAGTCCTCTCACTTCCCTCGTCTCTCCTTCCGCCTGGAGCCGCTGACAGTACCCATCGTTGATCCGGATTGTTGGAGGCTGTGGCGTGCAGAGTTCGTTGAACTCTCGTTCTGCCTGCTACGAGTGGATCTAAACTGGACGTGGAAAGGCGATCAGAGGGCCGCGTCAGAGACCGTGGAGCTGCTCATCATCCAGGCGTGGAGGACCAATGTGGCGGGAGACCTTTTGGGATTCGTCTTTGGAGCAGTGAATCGGGGAAACCGATCACAGATCGCACGCGAACTTACGATCGTGATCGCGCGACTGGCCGACGAACTCCCCCTTGACATCGTCTCTCAGAGCGACGAAGAGCCCGTGCCACATACCCTCTGAAGGACTCTCGCCCCAAGCCTCCAGTGGTCGGCTCTCGCAGCGAGTACCTGGACGTCCACAACCTAACTAATCCCCGCTTCTTTCGGCAATCAACGACGTTCGAGTGGGCGGCGCTGAGAGCAGAATAGGAAGCAGAAGAGGATTCGGAAGGAGAATTAAGGAGAGAGGCCGGGGAAGCAGCGGCCCGGTTGGCCGAGGACGAGGAAGAAGAACGCGAAGCAGAAGAAGAGTCCGCAGAACCTGAAGAAGAAGAAGAAGACGCAGAGGAGGAGACTTCGGAAGAAGAGGAGGAAGCCTATAGTGAGCACAGCGAGGGCAAGCCAAGTGAGGAGGAGGACGAAGACGACGACGAAGAAGTGGAAAGCGGAGACAACCAGGAGCCAACGCACGACGACGAGCTCGAGTGGGTGCCTGGACCGGATCGACGAGAGGAGAACCCTGAGGCTGCCGCACAGCGCAAGAAAGAGGTTGCGAAGGGAAAGAGGTCGGTGATCGACCCCACATCGAACGATCCTTCCAACGATCCCGAGCCGCCCAAGTCGGAACATGGGGACCTTGCTGCCACGACCTCGAGCGCCGCGACGACAAGGCGCTGATCCCGATCCCGATCCCCGTCCCCCTCTGCCTCCGCCCGTCCCCCAATCCGTCAACGTATCAATGAGGGGCTTCGCCCTTCGTCCCCAATCCATACACCACCACCCCCTTAGCCATCTCTCTTTCAATCAGTATTTCCATCGCGTCGTCTTCCACCGTAATCCCTTCCCCATCGCCACCTTCCGAAATTTCTACTCAGCCTTCCTAGAGCTGACTGTCCACCCCCACCCTTCCGTTCGGTGCGCCGTCCCCGATTACCCCCTCCACGTTCTACTCCTTAGCGCCACGTGGAGAGGCCGTAACCACATAGAGGTTTACTGCATCATTACGGGGACCTTTCCCGCGTGCGAAGACCATGATCGGTTCCGCACCGACGACCTCTGAACCCTCGTTTCCCTTTACCCAGACTACCTCGCTTACCTTCCCCGCAGCGGCCAGCGATTCCCCCGCTTCCATCGCATCGTCCGCTTCCAAGAGCTTCCCTACGACCTCACTGCAATCGGGCACTTCATACCTGAGCTTACAATGGAGCCGCCTCGCCCTCCCTCATACGCATACCACCTTCCTTTCCCCCTTCCGGTTAATTACTGATGCAGCGGTAACGGACACGTGTCGCGGCGACGGCACGAGAAGGATCCCGTCCTTGGATCGTCGAGACCCCAATCTAAGGAACTAGTAGAAGAGCAATGTTGCCACGTGGATGACGTCCACACGCAGTTGAACGGTAAGTGGCATAGACAGAAGTGCTCCGCGTGTCGATCGATTAGAGAAATCGACACGTGTCAACAAGCAAGCAGGAGCTTGCTAATATTGGAACCCCCTGGGCGTCACGTATGTGACTAACCACTTTCTGTAACGCGTGATTTTCTGCGCGGTTGCAACGAGGGGTCCTAAGCTGGGAAGATTGGGCCAATTACGCGAGATCGGGATCGGTGGAGAATTGCATCAGTGTCTTCGTCCTTTTCGTCACTTCTTTTTCGAATGGCTAGGCACGGAGCTGGGTGTGTCTTGGGACGGCCGGTTGATTGATTGGTCGGATGGATGTTTGGCGCGCCGCCGTGCGCGCGCGCGATTAATAAAAGTTGACGTCGTTTCTTTCGTTTCGGTTTCGATCTTTTGGGCGCAATACACATTTCGTAAAAAATGAACTTTTTTTAAAAAAGTAAACTATTTCGACTGCGAATAAACACTCAGTACATGACCCAATAGGGCATCATGCGACACTTTAAATGGTCAGTATATGAGGTGCTGACATGGCAAATGTTGCGGCGGGGCGTTTTGAGCCCTTCATACATGAATAGTCGTTATTAAATGCGAATTAACACAGTGTAAAAAAGGGCAGTGGCTCTTTGTATGACACCTTGACAATGTTGTCCTGGCTTAGTGTTGCTGTGACAGACAGTACACGATTCAAAAGGGCATCGTGTTGGGTATGTGGTGCCTATTTTCCATAAAAGGTCAGGGGTCCGGCGCCCGACACCTTGCAAGTTGATGGACTGAACCTGTCAACTGTGGTCGGGCAGAACACCCAGCCTGGTGCACGACATTTGGCAAGTTGAACCCGCAACCCGTCAGTACCCTTGCAACAATTGTGTCCACCATTTATCTTCCCGGAAGGACCTGAGGCTCCTTCTCCGATTCACAAATAGAAGTTGAACAGTGTCACCGAATGATTCGGGAGGTAGTGGTGTTCGACAAAGCACCTTAAGGAAGTGGCAAACAGTCGTTCACTGTCGATGCCGATTACCAATAGCACTGTTAGGGGGCCTTGATGCTGGTTCCTGATCTGTTTGGCGATCGAGCAGCTTGAAGAAGTGTAAAAGAGTCATTGGTTGTCTGTGTAGATTGTCATTAGCACTCTTAGGGAAACTTGATGCGAGATCTGATTCTAGAGAGAGAGAGAGAGAGAGAGAGAGAGAGAGAGAGAGAGAGAGAGAGAGAGCTCCTTGCTTTAACCCGGAAAGGCATTCACAGAGCAGATATCGGTTTGGTGATTGAGCACCTTCAACAAGTGTCAAACAGTCGACATGCGGATGGCCACGCACTCTAAGGGAACCTTGATGCTGGGTGTGGATTTGCTTGCCGCAGGTTAGCAGTTGCTGGGCAGTCTTGGATATCGAAGTCCGGCACCGGGGGAAGATTTGATGGTCTGTGGTGGGACTTCCTCTTGGATTTGGATCTGTTTCAAGCAGAGTTTCACACTCAAGAAACAGAATAGAACTCCAGATCCCGCAGGTTAGCAGTTCTTGGACATTGCTTGTGGTGTTGTCGGGGTAGACACCACAAGTCGGAGTGAACTCTCATTTAGATGGACAACATGAACGCACACCACTGCCTTAGTGTTGCTGTGACAGAGAGTACACAATTCAAAGGGCATCGTATTGGGTATGTGGTGCCTGTTTTCCATAAAAGGTCAGGGGTCCGGCGCCCGACACCTTGCAAGTTGAAGGACTGAACCTTTCAACAGTGGTCTGGCGGAACACCCAGCCAGGTGCACGACATTTGGCAAGTTGCCCGTCAGTACCCCTGCAACAAATGTGTYCACCATTTATCTTCYCGGAAGGACCTCCTTCTCCGGTTGACAGATAGTAGTTGAACACCAAATGATTCGGGAGTTAGTGGTGTTCGACAGAGCACCTTAAGGAAGTGGCAAATAGTCGTTCGCTCTCGATGCCGATTGCCAATAG